GCGACGACGCGAGCACGTTGGCTGCGGAGAAGACAGACAGCCGGTGGCCGAGCCACTTGGCTGCGTACCCGCCCGCCGCCGTGCCGCCCGCCGCGCCCCAGCCGGCGAGGCAATCGTTATATACGAGCCGCGGCAGGCGCAGCTCGAGAAAGCCACGCGGCGCGAGGGGCACGAGGCGCTCCACGCGGCCGAAGGGCGGCGGGCGCGGCGGGGCCGGCGGGGGCGGGGCGAAGTGGAGGGGGGCGCGCTCTGCCTGCTGCTCGAATAGTTCTGGGTGGTTGCACACCTGGGGGGCCATTTGCAGGGAGCGACGGCGACGTGTTGGAGCGTGCAGCGCGCCCTAGGCTCGTATGGACCGCCAGCGGACAACGCGGCCCCACTGCTGGGAGCGACAAGCGTCCCTGCCAACCGCCCTCCCCCCCCCCCAAAAAAAACACACATGTACACACACACACACACACACACACACACACACACACACAGAAACACACACCTTGCGCAGCTGTATAACGAGGTTGAGCAGCCGCGCCACCTTGGCCCTGTCGCTGACAAACAGGTCGGCCACGCACAGGCGGCCCCGCAGCGCAGCGTACAGCTGGCCCTGGCGGCGGCTGAGGGGGCACTGGATCGTGACCTCCGTCTTCGGCGGCATCTCCTGCGGTTCGAATGCGATTCAAATTCGGTGGTCGAGCGAGTGGGTCAGGTGGCTGAGGCGGCCTTTCTTCTTTTGATTTCAGGGGGGGGGGGGCGGCGTCTGCATATGTGGACGGACGCTCATGCAGGGGCTGTGGCGCAAAGGTGGCGCCACGTCAGCAGCGTGAGCGGGCCCGCGTGCGGCGCTCATCCCCCTTGAACGCCTGACCCGCGCCCCGTAGCGACCACGCCTGCACGCACGCACGCGCCGCGCTGCGGCCGCCGACCCCCACCCCCACCCACATTGAGCACGTCGGCCTTGATGCGCCGCAGCATGAAGGGCGACAGCACGGCGTGCAGCCGCGCCAGCTGGGCCGAGTTGAGGCGCGACGGCCCGGAGCCGCCGCCCACGCTGGCGGCCGCGAAACCCTCCACGTCCTGCGGTCGCGAATGAGATGGGAAGGCACGTTTCAAGACCGGGAGGCGCTGCCTTGCAGGCTGGATTCGTCGGGCAGACAGCCGGCGCGCAGGGGGAGTCAGTAAGCAGATCATGGCTGGCAAGATATGGGAGAGCGGGGTCTCCCAAGCCGCCGCCTGCGGCGCAGCTGAGCAGCTCGATCGCGCGCACGAACGGGCACCTGAAGTGCTCGGTATCTGCCTGGCACGCCGGCGCGCGTGCAATTTAAGGGCAGGGTAATCACCTTGCTGAACCACTCCTGGAAGGATTCCTGGGAGTCGAAGAGCTGCGGCATGATGAAGTGCAGGAGGGCCCACAACTCGGCCAGGCTGTTCTGGATGGGCGTGCCTGCAGCCGGGGGGTCCGGGGGAGGTTTTGCTGCGTTGGCAAACTCAAGCGACACGGGGGACGCGGTCGAATCAGATTGCACGTACGATTGTGCTTGAAACGCCGAGGCAAAGCTTGCTGATGAGGCGGGATTGCAGGTACAGTCAGTGCGCCTTGAGCAGAGCCGTGGGGAGGGCCATGGCTAGGCCGCACGCCAGCCGCACTGCGCGGTGAGTCCCCCCACCCCCGCCCCCGCCCCGCGCACCCGTGAGCAGCAGCCTGTTGCGGCATGAGAACGAGAGCAGCGCCTTCCAGCGCATCGAGTTTGAGCTTTTGATGGCCTGGGGGGGTGGGGTTGTTTTGGGG